TAAATAAATCAGGGTTGAACAAACCATTACTCAGACTTAATACCACAAGCAAGACCTTGATTTTATATATAGTCATTTTCTTCCATAAAGAACTGGATGGATTCTGCTCTAATTTAAAGTATTATTCACTATCACTCAAATGCTACTTCACCTCAATGTTCATCACAGAAAAATAACAAGACAATAAACTCACCAGAAGGACTGTAAACTTTGCAGAGTGGATTTTGAAGCATAAGGGAACTGCTTTTCATTTGGATGTGTTTTTTTTTAATACTACTTAGCTTGAGCCTGAGGTTAATTGTTAATCCCATTACTACTAGCTCTCTTTTATAATGTTCTGGATACTTTGTTTCATTTTGAATGGATCTAAATTATATCCATAGTTGCACTAACACTTTGTGGTAATTTTTAGATAGAAGCATCTATTTGCAAGGGTCAGGTGTTTGCAGATGGGTCACAAAGAATAACTTTTCAATTTATAGTGAAAAGCATAGGGAGACAAATTAAATGATAAGCCTTTGTGTGGGAGAAAACATTGACAAACAACAACTAGAAGGATCAGCATTTTTTAATGGGTTCCCTTTCTTTGGCTCTATGGAGAGAGAGTATCTCAGTAAGACATTACCAGCGTTAAAATCATTACCCAGTATATGGGCAGATGGCCGGCTGATAATTGTTTATGGGGACAGATGGCAGTTCCTTGTACCCTCTTTTCAGTTTCTGTGTTTTTAAAGCTCAGCAGTTGCAATGTGAAGGCTTCATAGGACCATAAAATACAAACCATTTTAAATAACTCTGAACCAGGGTTTTGACTGATGTGCTTAAAAGAAATAGTCACAGTTTGAAACTCCATCTGCAAAGAGATACTAGGTGTATGGCCCTGCAGGTTATAATTTATGGAAATAGCAGGCTAATTTGGGCTACATCTACACATAGACATACAAACTGGCATAAATAAAATAAAGAATTGAATCCAGTCAACTAGTTTACCCTATTCCAGAAAGGCAAATTTTTAGTATATACTTAAAAATCAAACACCAGCACATGTTGAACATTTGGCTAAGGTTCATGAGAGGTATAAAATAGGTTTCATGTCTTGTGCTGACTTTAGAAGACAATCTATATGAGGAATGAAAGAATAAATAGAGATAATTGCAATACAAGTAAGAAGTTTCTAACTGCCAAGCAACAGAGACAAAAGAGCTAGAGAAGATCAAATAGAGAAAGATCACAGTGTATATGAAAATTTACTGAATATGAGTAGCCATAGGCTGGGCAACAAAAAGATCAGTGACAGTTTTGCTGGTGTAGGAAATGTCATAAGCAAAGACACAGAGCAGGAGGTGCAGAAAAAGCCTGAAAATTGTGTTCTTGTTTATTGCATGCTATTTTTATTTATTTCTTCCTTTTTAGTCTCTTTTTATAATATGGTAAGAGAGGGTAAACAATATACTTTTTTTAATTAATATAAAATAATAATTGAAAAGATTAATAACTAAGCCAGAATATATGGGAACTTAAATTCTGCAATCCTGATTTCAGACACTGTCCTTAAAAAATTTGGGAGGGCTACTAAATGTTTTTAAGCACATATTAAGTTTGAAAATGCTATTTTTGCGAGATATGTCTGGTAGTTATGTGGAATAGATTGGGGATGGAGAGCCTGGATGGAGCTCATTTAGGAAATTGTTGCTATATTTAAGACTAAGTATCTAAAATAAAGTAGAACTCATGAGGAAGAGAAATAAGATGGTAGCCATTATAAAAGAAGAGTCAATATAATGTGTGACTGTTTGCATGTGAACAGCCAACAATAAAGGCAAGAGTCAAAGCAAATGTTTACAGCTTAAATGATTTGAAAAACGATGTTGCTTTCTAGCAATAGAAGTTAAACTAGGAAGGAGGGGAAAATTATACATTTGGATTATTATTTGTAATGCTGTTGAGGCATCAATATGGAGATGTGTAGAAGTCAGGTGATGATTTAGAGAAAAGACAAGTTTTGAGAAAAAGATTATGGAGTCAGTAACTAAGAGTAACAGGTGAAATGACAAAGGTGAATGAGATCTGAGGGAGAAATGAATAAAGAAAATAGCAGTGTAATAAAGACTAAAGCTTGTGAGCAATACCAACTTTTTAAAACTAGCTGTGAGTGCTGGTAAGTTGGCCAAATAGGAACAGTTCTGGTTTGCAGCTCCCAGTGAAACCAACGCAGAAGGAGGGTGATTTCTGCATTTCCAACTGAGTAGCCGGTTCATCTCAGTGGGACTGGTTAGAGTGTGAGCATAGCCCACAGAGAGTGAGCTGCAGTAGGGTGGAGCATCACCTCACCAAGGAAGCATGAAAGGTTGGGGAGCTCCCACCCCTAGAAAAGGGACTGTGCCATGAGGAACATACACCCTAGCCCAGATACTACACTTTTCCCACAGTCTTTGCAACCATCAGACCAGGAGATTCCCTAGGGCGCTTATCCTACCAGGGCCCCAGGTTTTAAGCACAACACTGAGAAGCTGTTTGGGAAGACACCAAGCTAGTTTCAGGAGTTTTTTTTTTTTTTTTCCATACCCCAGTGGCACGTGGAATGCCAGTGAGACAGAACCTTTCACTAATCTGGAATGGGGGCTGAAGCCAGGGAGCCAAGTGGTCTAGCTCAGTGGATCCCACCACCAAGATGCCCAGGAAGCTAAGATCCACTGGCTTGAAATTCTCACTGCCAGCACAGCAGTTTGAAGTCGACCTAGGATGCTGGAGCTTGGTGGGGGGAGGGGTGCCCACCATTACTGAGGCTTCAGTAGGTGGTTTTCCCCTCACAGTGTAAACAAAGCCACAGGGAAGCTCCAACTGAGTGAAGCCCTCCACAGCTCTAGATTACTCCTCTTTGGGAAGGGCATCTCTGAAAAAAAGGCAGCAGCCCCAGTCAGGAGCTTATAGATAAAATTCCCATCTCCATGGAACAGAGCAGCTGGAAGAAGGGACGACTGTGGGCACATCTTCAGCAGACTTAAATATCCCAGCCTGCTGGCTCTGTGCAGCCTATCTCCCAGCACAGCACTGGGCCCTGCTAAGGATTAGACTGCCTCCTCAAGTAGGTCCCTGACCCCTGTGTCTTCTTACTGGAAGACAATTCCCAGCAGGGGCCAACAGAAACCTCATACAGGAGAGTTCTTGCTGGCATCTGATGGGAGCCCCTATGAGACAAGATTCCAGAGGAAGGAACAGGCAGCAATCTTTGCTGTTCTACAGCCTCTGTTGGTGATACGCAGGCAAACAGGGTCTGGGGCAGACCTCCAGCAAACTCCAGCAGACCTGCGGCAAAGAGGCCTAGCTGTTAGAAGGAAAGCTAACAAATAGAAAAGAATAATATTAACATCAACAAAAAAGATGTCCGCACAGAAACCCAATTCAAAGGTCACCAACATTAAAGATCAAAGGTAGATAAATCCACAAAGATGGGGAGAAACCAGCACAAAAAGGGTGAAAATTCCAAAAACCAGAATATCTCTTCTCCTCCAAAGGACGACAACTCCTTGCCAGCAAGGGAACAAAACTGGCTGGAAATTGAGTTTGACAAATTGTCAGAAGTAGACTTAAGAAGATGGGTAATAACAAACTCCTCTGAGCTAAAGGAGCATGCTCCAATACAATGCAAGGAAGCTAAGAACCTTGAAAAAAGGAAAGAGGAATTGTTCACCAGAATAACAAGTTTAGAGAGGAACTTAAATGCCCTGATAGAGCTGAAAAACACAGCATGAGAACTTCAAGAAGCATACACAAGTATCTATAGCTGAATTGATCAAGTTAAAGAAAGGATATCAGAGACTGAAGACCAACTTAATGAAATTATGCATGAAGACAAGATTAGAGAAGAAAGAAGGAAAAGGAATAAACAAAGCCTTCAAAAATATGGGGCTATGTGAAAAGACCAAAACTAAGTTTGACTGGTGTATCTGAAAGTGATGGGGAGAATGGAACCAAATTGGAAAACACTCTTTAGGATATTATCCAGGAAAACTTCCCCAACCTAGCAAGACAGGCCAACGTGAATATTCAGGAAATACAGAGAACCCAACAAAGATATTCCTCGAGAAGAGCAACCCCAAGACATGTAACTGTCAGATTCACCAAGATTGAAATGAAGGAAAAAATGTTAACAGCAGCTAGAGAGAAAGATCGAGTTACCCACAAAGGGAAGCCTATCAGACTAACACAGCAGATCTCTCTTCAGAAACCCTATAAGCCAGAAGAGAGTAGGGGCCAATATTCAATACTAAAAGAAAAAAGAATTTTTAGCCCAGAATTTTATATCCGACCAAACTAAGCTTCATAAGTGAAGGAGAAATAAAATCCTTTACAGACAAGCAAATGCTGAGAGATCTTGTCACCAAAAGGCCTGCCTTACAAGAGCTCCTGAAAGAAGCACCAAACATGGAAAGGAAGGACCAGTACTAGCCACTGCAAAAACATACCAAATTGTAAAGACCACTGACACTATGAAGAAACTGCATCAACTAACAGGAAAAACAACCAGCTAGCATCATAATGACAGGATTAAATTTACACATAACAATATTAACCTTAAATGTAAATGGGATAAATTTCCCAATTAAAAGACAAAGACTGGTCAACTGAATAAGTAGTCCACACCTATGGGTGTGTTGTATTCAGGAGACCCATCTCATGTGCAAAGACACACATATGCTCAAAATAAAGGGATGGAGGGAAATTTACCAAGAAAATAAAAATAAATCAAAAAGCAGGGATTGCAATCCTAGTCTCTTATAGAACAGATTTTAAACCAACAAAGATCAAAAGAGACAAATAAGGGCATTACATAATGGTAGAGGGACCAATGCAACAAGAAGAGCTAACTATCCTAAATATATATGCACCCAATACAGAAGCACCCAGATTCATAAAGCAAGTTCTCAGAGACCTACAAAAAGACTTAGACTCCCACACAATAATAGTGAGAGACTTTAATACCTCACTGTCAGTATGAGACAGATCAACAAGACAGAAAATTAACAAGGATGCTCAGGACTTGAACTCAGCTCTGAACCACATGGACCTAAGAGACATCTATAAAACTCTCTACCCCAAATGAACAGAATATACATTCTTCTCAGCACCACATCACACTTATTCTAAAATTGACCTCATAATTGTAAGTAAAACACTACTCAGCAAAGGCAAAGGAACAGAAATCATAACAACCAGTCTCTCAGGCCACAGTGCAATCAAATGAGAACTCACAATTAAGACTCATTCAAAACCACACAACTACATGAAAACTAAACAACCTGCTCCTGAATGACTACTAGGTAAATAACAAAATTAAGGCAGAAATAAAGAAGTTATCTGAAACCAATGAGAACAAAGACACAACATATCAGAATCTCTGGGATATATTTAAAGCAGTGTGTAGAGGGAAATTTACAGCACTAAATGCTCAGAAGAGAAAGCATGAAAGATCTAAAATTGACACCCTAACATCACAATTAAAAGAACTAGAGAAGTAAGAGCAAACAAATTCAACAAAAGACAAGAAATCACTAAGATCAGAGCAGAACTGAAGGAGATAGACATGAAAATCCCTTCAAAAAAATCAATAAATCGGAGGTCGGATCCAAGACGGCCGTTTAGGAACAGCTCAGGATTGCAGCTCCCAGTGAAAGTGCAGAGGGTGAGTGGACGCCGCGTTTTTATTGCCCACAGACTAGGAAATTCCCGGGCGAAGGAACTCCACGGTCGCCAGCGCGGCTCTTTCGGCCAGCGCGGCTGTGCCGGCCAGCGCCGCTACTTTGCCCCGCGCGGCTGCTTTGTCGGCGCCCCGAAGCCGCGCTTCTCCGTACAAAATACACCGGTCCGGGTGCCCTTTTGGCTGGCGATTGGAGCCACGGGAAGTCGCCCATTCGCCGGTTCAAAAAGGGGACTGAGCAGAGAACCAGGACAGCAGATTCCAGGGCAGAAAAAAAAAAAAAAAAAAAAGCGCCACAAACCTCAGTGCCGCTGTTTAAGCCAGCGCAGTGAGTGGCCGCAGGGGAAAACAAACAGACCCCGGCGCCTCTTCAACAGGTGACTGGAACACCAACTTAAAAAAGGCTCTGAGGCAGGTAGCCAGGCGATCAGGCTCGGCTGGTCCCACCCCCACAAAAGAACAGCAACCAGAAACTCTGGATTGAGACTTTCACAGCAAGCGCAGCTGAACCCAGGACGGTCCAGCTTTGTGGGGGAGGGGTGTCCGCCATTACCGAGGCAGCCCGCCGTTGCCAAGGCAACCCGCCATTGCTGAGGCAGCCCGCCGTTGCCAAGGCAACCTGCCACAGCAAAGAGACTCCGCCTCAACAGAGGCGGGCCACCATCGCCAAAGCAGTTCTAACTACACCCATATAAACAGGACCGCAGGGAAGTTCACTCGGCAGCAGGGCGGAGCCCACAGTAGCTCAGCAAAGCTGCTATAGGCCGACAGTGACTAGGCTGCCTCCTTGCTGGGCTGGGCAGGCCTGAAGGGAAAAAAAAAAAAAAAAAAAGAAGGGGGCAGCATAACGGAAACTCATAAATAAAGCCCTAAATCCCTGGGACAGAGCACCTGGGAACAAAAAGCAGTTTATGAGTTCTGCTGCAGCAGACCTAAAAGTACCTGCCCAGCAGCTCTGAATGAACAACAACAGAGCTCACAGCTCACCATTTGAGCTCCTATAAAGAAGAGACCGTGTCCTCAAGCAGCTCCCTGACCCCTATATATCCAAAAAGACACCTCATAAAAGAGAGATCAGATTGACACTAGGCGGGTATCCGTCTGGGACAAAGACAGCAGAAGAAGAAAGCTGGTAACAACCCTTGCTGTTCAGCAGCTGCTGCAGGTGAACCCCAGGCAAGCAGGGCCTGGAGTGAACCTCAGCAGTCCTACAGCAGAGGGGCCAGACTGTCAGAAGGAAAACCAAGAAACAGAAATAACCTCATCATCAACAAACAGACCGTCAATCTGAAAGATTTGAGACCCAATCTGAAAGCCAGCAACTACAAAGTCGACAGGTGGATAAATCCTTAAAGATGGGAAGGAACCAGCGCAAAAAGGATGAAAACACCCGAAACCAGAACACCTCTCCTCCTAAAAGGGATCACAACTCCTCACCAGCAAGGGAACAAGGTTGGAGGGAGAACGAGTGTGATGAAATGACAGAATCAGACTTCAGAAGGTGGGTAGTAAGAAACTTCTGTGAACTTAAAGAACATGTTCTAACCAAATGCAAAGAAACTAAGAACCTTGAAAAAAGAGTGGACGAAATGCTAACAAGAATGGACAAAATACAAAGGAATATAAGTGAACTGATGGAGCTGAAAAACGCAACACGAGAACTTCGCGAAGCATGCACAAGTATCAACAGCTGAATTGACCAAGCAGAAGAAAGGATATCAGAGGTCGAAGATCAACTCATGAAATAAAACGGGAAGGCAAGACTGGAGAAAAAAGGGTAAAAAGGAATGAACAAAGTCTCCAAGAAATGTGGGACTATGTGAAAAGACCTAATCTACGTTTGGTAGGCGTACCCGAATGCGACAAAGAGAATGAATCCAAGCTGGAAAATACTCTTCAGGATATTATCCAGGAAAACTTCCCCAACCTAGCAAGGCAGGCAAACATTCAAGTCCAGGAAATACAGAGAACACCACAAAGATATTCGTCAAGAAGAGCAACCCCAAGGCACATAATCGTCAGATTCACCAGGGTCGAAATGAAGGAGAAAATACTAAGGGCAGTCAGAGAGAAAGGTCGGGTTACCCATAAAGTGAAGCCCATCAGACTCACAGCAGATCTCTCAGCAGAAACCCTACAAGCCAGAAGAGAGTGGGGGCCAATATTCAACATCCTTAAAGAAAAGAACTTTCAACCCAGAATCTCCTATCCAGCCAAACTAAGCTTCATAAGTGAAGGAAAAATAAAATCCTTTGGGAACATGCAAGTACTCAGAGATTTCGTCACCACCAGGTCAGCTCTACAAGAGCTCCTGAAAGAGGCTCTACACATATAAAGGAACAACAAGTACCAGCTCAACTAAAGGACAAAACACCTAGCTAGCACCAAAATGGCAGTATCAAATTCACACATAACAATATTAACCCTAAATGTAAATGGACTAAATGCCCCAATCAAAAGACACGGACTGGCAAATTGGATAAAAAGACAAAACCCATCGGTGGGCTGTATCCAGGAAACCCATCTCACATGCAAGGATACACAAAGGCTCAAAATAAAGGGATGGAGGAAGATTTACCAAGCAAATGGAGAGCAAAAAAAAGCAGGAGTTGCAATTCTCATCTCTGAGAAATTAGACTTTAAAGCAACAAAGATCAAAAGAGACAAAGAGGGACATTACATAATGGTAAAAGGATCAATGCAACAAGAAGAGCTAACGATCCTAAATATATACGCACCCAATACAGGAGCACCCAGATACATAAGGCAAGTTCTTAATGACTTACAAAGAGACTTAGACTCCCACACAATAATAGTGGGAGACTTTCACACCCCATTGTCAACATTAGACAGATCAACCAGACAGAAAATTAACAAGGATATCCAGGACTTGAACTCAGACCTGGACCAAGCAAACCTAATAGACATTTACAGAACTCTCCACCCCAAATCCACAGAATATACATTCTTCTCAGCACCACATCACACCTAATCTAAAATTGACCACATAATTGGGAGTAAATTACTCCTCAGCAAATGCAAAAGAATGGAAATCCTAACAAACAGTCTCTCAGACTACAGTGCAATCAAGTTAGAACTCAGAATTCAAAAACTAACCCAGAAATGCACAGCTTCATGGAAACTGAACAACTTGCTCTTGAATGTTGACTGGATAAACAATGAAATGAAGACAGAAAGAAAGATGTTCTTCGGAACCAATGAGAATGAAGACACAACATACCAGAATCTCTGGGACACTTTTAAAGCAGTCTCTAGAGGAAAATATATAGCAATAAGTGCCCACGTGAGAAGCAAGGAGAGATCAAAAATTGACACTCTATCGTCAAAACTGAAAGAGCTAGAGGAGCAAGATCAAAAAAACTCAAAGCCAAGCAGAAGACAAGAAATAGCTAAGATCAGAGTAGAACTGAAGGAGATAGAGACACAAAAAACCCTTCAAAAAATCAATAAATCCAGGAGCTGATTTTTTGAAAAGATCAACAAAATAGACAGACCACTAGCCAGATTAATAAAAAAGAAAAGAGAGAATAACCAAATTGATGCAATAAAAAATGATAAAAGGGGATATCACCACAGATTCCACAGAAATTCAAACCATCATCAGAGATTATTACAAACAACTCTATGCACACAAACTAATAAACCTGGAAGAAATGGATAAATTCCTGGACACTTGCCTCCTGCCAAGCCTAAACCAGGAAGAAGCCGAAACCCTGAACAGACCCATAACAAGGTCTGAAGTTGAGGCAGCAATTAAGAGCTTACCACCCAAAAAAAGCCCAGGTCCAGATGGGTTCACAGCTGAATTCTACCAGACGTACAAAGAGGAGCTGGTACCATTCCTTCTGAAACTATTCCAAACAATACAAAAAGAGGGAATTCTTCCCAAATCATTTTATGATAACAACATCATTCTGATTCCAAAACCCAGCAGAGACTCAACAAGAAAAGAAAAATACAGGCCAATATCCATGATGAACATAGATGCAAAAATCTTCAATAAAATACTGACAAGCCGATTGCCACAGCACATCAAAAAGCTTATCCACCATGATCAAGTAGGCTTCATCCCGGGGATGCAAGGCTGGTTCAACATACGCAAGTCTATAAACGTAATTCACCACATAAACAGAAGCAAAGACAAAAACCACATGATTATCTCAATTGATGCAGAGAAGGCCTTTGACAAAATTCAACAGCCCTTTATCCTAAAAACCCTCAATAAGCTAGGTATCGATGGAACGTATCTCAAAATAATAAAAGCTATTTATGAAAAACCAACAGCCAATATCATACTGAATGGGCAAAAACTGGAAGCATTCCCCTTGAAATGTGGCACCAAACAAGGATGCCCTCTCTCACCACTGCTATTCAATATTGTATTAGAAGTTCTAGCCAGAGCAATCAGGAAAGAAAAAGAAATAAAGGGTATTCAAATAGGAAAGGAGGAAGTCAAATTGTCTCTATTTGCAGACGACATGATTGTATACCTAGAAGACCCCATCGTCTCAGCCCCAAACCTCCTGAAACTGATAAGCAAGTTCAGCAAAGTCTCAGGATACAAAATCAATGTGCAAAAATCACATGCATTCCTATACGCCAGTAACAGACTTAAAGAGAGCCAAATCAAGAACAAACTTCCATTCACAATTGCCACAAAGAGAATAAAATACCTAGGAATACAACTAACAAGGAATGTAAAGGACCTCTTCAAGGAGAACTACAAGCCACTGCTCAACGAAATAAGAGAGGACACAAACAGATGGAGAAACATTCCATGTTCATGGTTAGGAAGAATCAATATCGTGAAAATGGCCATACTGCCCAAAGTAATTTACAGATTCAATGCTATCCCCATCAAGCTACCAATGACCTTCTTCACAGAACTGGAAAAAACCACCTTAAACTTCATATGGAACCAAAAGAGAGCCCGCATAGCCAAGTCAATTCTAAGCAAAAAGAACAAAGCAGGGGGCATCACACTACCGGACTTCAAACTATACTACAAGGCTACAGTAATCAAAACAGCATGGTACTGGTACCAAAACAGAGATATAGACCAATGGAACAGAACAGAGGTCTCGGAGGCAACACAACATATCTACAACCATCTGACCTTTGACAAATCAGACAAAAACAAGCAATGGGGAAATGATTCCCTGTTCAATAAATGGTGTTGGGAAAGCTGGCTAGCCATGTGCAGAAAGCAGAAACTGGACCCCTTCCTGACACCTTACACGAAAATTAACTCCAGATGGATTAAAGACTTAAACATAAGACCTAACACCATAAAAACCCTAGAAGAAAATCTAGGCAAAACCATTCAGGACATAGGTGTAGGCAAGGACTTCATGACCAAAACACCAAAAGCATTGACAACAAAAGCCAAAATAGACAAATGGGACCTAATCAAACTCCACAGCTTCTGCACAGCAAAAGAAACAATCATTAGAGTGAATCGGCAACCAACAGATTGGGAAAAAATTTTTGCAGTTTACCCATCTGACAAAGGGCTGATATCCAAAATTTACAAAGAACTAAAGCAGATTTACAAGAAAAAAACTAACAAGGCCATTCAAAAGTGGGCAAAGGATATGAACAGACACTTTACAAAAGAAGACATATGTGAGGCCAACAAACATATGAAAAAATGCTCATCATCACTGGTCATCAGAGAAATGCAAATCAAAACAACATTGAGATACCATCTCACGCCAGTTAGAATGGCGATCATTAAAAAATCTGGAGACAACAGATGCTGGAGAGGATGTGGAGAAATAGGAACACTTTTACACTGTTGGTGGAAGTGTAAATTAGTTCAACCATTGTGGAAGACAGTGTGGTGATTCCTCAAGGACCTAGAAATAGAAATACCATTTGACCCAGCAATCCCATTACTGGGTATATATCCAAAGGATTACAAATCGTTCTACTATAAGGACATGTGCACACGAATGTTCATTGCAGCACTGTTTACAATAGCAAAGACCTGGAACCAACCCAAATGCCCATCAACGATAGACTCGATAGGGAAAATGTGGCACATATACACCATGGAATATTATACAGCCATCAAAAACGATGAGTTTGGGTCCTTTGTAGGTACATGGATGAACCTGGAAACCATCATTCTCAGCAAACTGACAGAAGAGCAGAAGATCAAACACCACATGTTCTCACTCATAGGCGGGTGTTGAACAATGAGAACACGTGGACACAGGGAGGGGAGTACTACACACTGGGGTCAGTTGGGAGGAAATAGGGGAGGGACGGTGGGGGGTGGGAAGCTGGGGAGAGATAGCAGGGGGAGAAATGCCAGATGTAGGTGATGGGGAGGAAGGCTGCAAATCACACTGCCACGTGTGTTCCTATGCAACAATTTTGCATGTTCTTCACATGTACCCCAAAACCTAAAATGCAATAAAATAAATAAATGGGAAAAAAAATCAATAAATCAAGGAGCTGGTTTTTTGAAAAGATCAATAAAATAGATAGACCACTAGTCAGATTAATAAAGAAGAAGAGAGAGAAGAATCAAATAGATGCAATAAAAAATGATAAAGGGGCTATCACCACTGATCCCACAGAAATACAAACTACCATCAGAGAATAACATGAACACCTCTACATAAATAAACTAGAAAATCTAGAAGAAATGGATAAATTCCTGGACACATACTCCCTCCCAAGTCTAAACCAGGAAGAAGTTGAATCCCTGAATAGACCAACAACAAGTTCTAAAATTGAGGCAGTGATTAATAGCCTACCAACCAGAAAAAGTCCAGGACCAGATGTTTTCACAGCCAAATGCTACCAAAGGTACAAGGAGGAGCTGGTATCATTCCTTCTGAAACAGTAGAAAAAGAGATAACCTACCCTAACTCATTTTATGAGTCCAGCATCATCCTGATACCAAAACCTGGAAGAAACACACACACACACACACACACACACACACACACACACACACACATATATATACAATTTTAGGCCAATATCCCTAACGACTATTGATATGAAAATCCTCAATAAAATACTGTCAAACCAAGTCCAGCAGCACATCAAGAAGCTTATCCACTGTGATCGTGTTGGCTTCATCCCTGGGATGCAAGCCTGGTTCAACATACACAAATCAACAAATGCAATCCATCACATAAACAACCAATGACAAAAAACACATGATTATCTCAATAGATGCTGAAAAGGCCTTCAATAACATTCAACATCCCTTCATGCTAAAAATTCTCAATAAACTAGGTATTGATGAAATGTATCTAAAATGATAAGAGCTATTTATGACAAATCCACAGCCAACATCATACTGAATGGGCAAAAGCTGAAAGCATTCTCTTTGAAAACTGGCACAAGACAAGGATGCCCTCTCTCACCACTCCTATTCAACATAGTATTGGAAGTTCTGGCTAGGGCAATCAGGCAAGAGAAAGAAATTAAGGGTTTTCAAATAGGAAGAGAGGAAGTCAAATTGTCACTGTTTGCAGATGACATGACTGTATAATTAGAAAAAAACATCATCTCAACCCAAAATCTCCTTAAGCTGAGAAGCAACTTCAGCAAAGTCTCAGGATACAAAGTCAATGTGCAAAAATCACTAGCATTCCTATATACCAATAACAAACCAACAGAGGGCCAAATCATGAGTGAACTCCCATTCACAATAAACACAAAGGGAATAAAATATCTAGGAATACAACTTACAAGGGATGTGAAGGACTTCTTCCAAGAAAAATACAAACCACTGTTCAAGGAAATAAGAGAGGACACAAACAAATGGAAAAACATTCTATGCTGATGCTTAGGAAGAATCAATATCCTGAAAGTGGCCATACTGCCCAATGTAATTTATAGATTTGATACTATCCCCATCAAACTACTATTGACTTTCTTCACAGAATTAGAAAAAAACTACTTTAAATTTTATATGGAAGCAAAAAAAAGAGCCCACATAGCCAAGACAATACTAAGCAAAAAGAACAAAGCTAGAGGCATCATACTACTTGACTTCAAATTATACTACAAGGCTATAGTAACCAAAACAGCATGACATTGGTATCAAAACAGATACATAGAACAATGGAACAGAACAGAGGCCTCAGAGATAACACTAGACATCTACAACCATCTGATCTTTGACAAACCT